CATATGCTAAACATCTCAACCTTTCTGTTATTGAAGCGGGATCAGAATAAAACTTTGAAAAAATATGGTCCTTTAACCATGTTATAAAACTTCGATTGTGCTCACGTACTATCCAATTTTCATTTCGATTGAGATTTAAACCTCGGAGAACGTCCTTGTGCATTTCAACATACGGCTCAACCTCAATGTCATTGTGCAGAACATACAAATGCACTTGCTCCCGTTCATCCCTTGAAACTGTCACAACTTTATTTCCAATTAACTGTTTACCTACTATTTTTTCAACAACATGAGATTTTGGGAGGCCAATGGATTGAACGTTGGACAAATATTCAGTACAAAACTCAAAATCTTCTTCAACAATGTATCATTCAACAATACATCCCTCTGGTCGACTTCGGTTTTTCACATACCCTTTCAATATTTTCATATAACGTTCGACAGGGTACATCCATCTCATATAAGCTGGTCCACACAATTGTGTCTCTTTCACAATATGAACAACTAGATGTACCATTATGTCAAAAAATGGAGGAAAATACATTTCAAGCTCACACAAAGTAATAACTATTTCTTTTTGCAATGTTGGTAAGATCGCAGGATCAATCACCTTACTACAAATTGACCTGAAAAAAAAACACAATTTAGTTATTGCGCTTCTCACTTTTTTTGGCAAAATAGAACGTATACCTATTGGTAGAAAGTGTTCCATTATAACATGGCAATCATGTGTCTTTAAACTATTTAACTTGAGGTTTTTCATAGAAACAAGTCTTCTAATATCTGAAGAGTATCCTTCTGGAACTTTAACTTCACTCAGAAACTTACACAATATCTTTTTCTCCTTTCAAGATAAAGTATAAGCAACAGGTGATAGATATGTTCGATTTCCTTTCTTCAAGGGTCCTAACTCATTTCTTATTCCCATTGCTACCAAGTCCTTTCTTGCTTTAAGGTCATCCTTAGACTTTCCTTGTATATTGAGTAACGTACCAATAACACTTTCAAATACATTTTTTTCAATATGCATAACATCAAGAAAATGTCTTACATACAACGACTTCCAATACGGCAACTCAAACAAAATTGACCTCTTCTTCCACCCACGTGTGACAAGCATATGAGCAAAAGGCTTTCCAAACTAAGTACTCACATCTTTCACCTTTTCAAAAATTTGTTCGCCGGTCAATGTAGGCGGAGCTCTACCTTGTTCTGAATTTCCATTGAATACTTTTCTCCACCCACGGTAGTGATGATTATAATTTAAGAATCTACAATGACCAAGAAAGACATTCTTCTGACCAAATTCCAATCGCGTCCAATCTGTGTTTTCTTCACAGATAGGACACGCACATTGACCTTTAATGCTATACCCCGATAGATTTCCGTAAGCTGGAAAATCATTAATTGTTCCAAACAACATCGCCCTTAAATTGAAACTTTCTTTCCTATATCCATCATAAACCTCCACACCGTTCTCCCACAAACTCTTTAAGTCTTCGATTAAAGGTGTCTAGTATACGTCTATGTCATTCCCTGGTTGTTTAGGGACAGAAATTAACATAGATAACATCATGTACTTACGCTTCATACATAGCCATGGAGGTAGGTTATAAATCATAAGAATTACAGGCCAGGTGGAATGTGAGATACTTTGCAGACCATTCAAATTCATTCCATCAGTCGATAATGCCAAGCGAAGGTTTCTAGCTTCTTCTCCAAAATCAGGATACTCATTATCAATTTTCATCCACTGTGGTGAATCTGCCGGATGTCGATACTTCCCATCTATAAGTCGATCATCTGCATGCCAAGTCAAGTGTTTTGCATCTGTTTCACTTGAAACATGCGTCTAAATCTCGGAATTATTGGAAAATACCATAACACTTTTGCTGGTGACAACTTTTTCTTATACCGAGATACACCGCATTTAGGACACTCGTTTAATGATGCATATTCATTTCGAAACAAAATGCAATCATTTGGACAAACATGTATCTTATCATAGTTTATGCCAATAGAGCATAACATTTTTTTAGCTTCATGGGTTCGATTGGGAAGAACATTATCCTCCGGAAGCATCTCTTGTAGTAGGGATAACAACTCTGTGAAACTTTTATCCGACCATCCATTACCCGCCTTTAAGTTGTACAACTTTAATACCGCAAACAATCTTGTGAAAGTAGTGCAACCTTTATACAACGGTTTCTCTGCATCGCTTACCAACCTCTCAAACATCTTGGGACAATCCTCAAGATCTTCTTCAAGTGCTTCTGCAATCTCTTCGACTCAATCACAATCTTATGTATCCCTGCCATTGTCCTTTGAAGCATAGGTCGTATTATCCCCGGATTCGACATTCTCGTTACTTATCTCACCATGTAATGTCCAACATGTATAACTTCGATCAATTCCATGTCTCATTAAATGAGATTCTAACTGAACGGCGTCAATTCGACGCCCATAACAACAACCTAAGCAAGGACATGTGATCGTACTGGGGTCTTTGGCGTGTTCAATAACAAACTTAACGAATTTTGATACCCCATTCTCGTACTCTTTTGACAATCGATTAGAAGACATCCATTTTTTATCCATACTAATTGAGTAGTCTAAACTAAACTAAGAAAGTTAAACAAAAACAGAGAATACCTATAAAGAAATCACCAACTTCTAAGAAAGCTACACAGTAGGATGCTTGGAAACGATCACAACCTTGCTCTTCACATGTAACCCCTATAACAGACAAAATTAATAACATCATCAACATTAAATAATTCTTGGAACATCAATTGTTGATAAAACTTGCAATAATGTAACAACTTCTTATATAGTTGATAATTTCTTTTAATAAGGAACAAAGTAAAATACCATAAAATGAGGAACAAAATAAAATACCATAAAAAACGAGAAAACTTAAAGAAAGTTATACCTAACATAGTAATTCTCTTTAACATAATGATACGATTTCGAAACATTAAAATGTTTTGTCTATTTATGAGTTTATCATTGAAATTCAAGGCTCACAAGAGGTACAAAACTCAAGAAGGTTCACAAGTTGTCCATAAACCAAACTCATTACAATTTGAAGATTTATATGGCCAAATCCATTCAAAAATTCAAGGAAACTCTCAAGGAGTTTAAGTTAGACTCGCAAAATCAAGTTGATGATATTAAAATCTCAAAGTCTAATCTTAAATTATCATGAAATGAATCTCATTACAAAGGTGCAAGCCTCATATCCAAGTTACAAATTTAAAGAGGATCATTTTACTTCAAGCTTAACTAAAAGAACTTTCTGCATGAAGAAAGGTTCAAGATATCATGGCCTCATTCAAATTTGGATTTTTGAGGGCATTCAAAAAGTATATATGAAGAATATCCAAAGTTTCATCCATTTTTGTTTTTACAAAATACATTTCGTGCAAAACTAAATTTCATTCTATTCTCAAGCTTACAAGACTCTTAGTCCATTTTGTCATACTAAAAAAAGGGGAGAGCAAAAAACAGTATTATGAAACAAAATACTCCAAACATGGTTACTTTCCATAAACTTTCACAGGGAGACTTTCTAACTATTCTACTACAGGTAAGTCATGAGAACATCCAAGCCACGATAAAACCACTGCTAAGCCATCACCAGTTCATCCAAAAACGGTGTAGACCATGTTCATTAACATCTTAGAAGATTAATGGTATAGGATATGTACGCACCTGCAGAATGACAGACGAAGGCGAAAGGGATGACGGCGAGAACGGACAGAAAAACAGCGGCGAAAGAAAATGCAGACAGAATGAAGGGAGGACGGCGACGAATGGCGGCTGTCGGGCGGAGGGAATGACGTTTCCGGTCGTGGTGAATAGGGCATGCAAGTTCGCGAGAGGAGAAAGAACGAAAGCAGAAAACGCGACTCTTAAGTTTCTTGAAAAATTCTGGTGGTTTTTTAAATTTATTCTCATTAAACCTAAAGTAGCGCTTTCTTAGGGCTTTTAGCAGCGCTTTTGAAAAGCGCTCTCCAAGGTATGCCTTAGGCAGGACCTATAGCAGCGCTGTTTAAAAGCGCTTTCTATTATACCCCCTTTAGCAGCGCTTATGTAGAAAGCGCTTTCGTAGACCCCCCCTTTAGCAGCGCTTTCTTAGACCCCCCCTTTAGCAGCGCTTTTAGAAAGCGCTTTTTTAGACCCCCTCTTTAGCAGCGCTTTTAGAAAGCGCTTTCTTAGAGCATGCATTTAGCAGCGCTTTTTCTTAAAGCGCTGTCTAAGGTTTGCTATTTTTTTCATGACTCTTTAGTAGCGCTTTTTAATAAAGCGCTATATTTTTACGCGCTGCTAAAAGTCATTTCTGGCGTAGTGGTTGCATAGTACATTATAAAAAAAATAGTATTTTGCAACAATCCAATTTGAAAGCAGGTCATGTGAGATTTTTTTTATTTATTTTTCTCATGTTCTGTGTTTTCTTTAAAGTCCTCTTCGATTGTTATTGGCTGAGGATGAATCCTCTTTGAAAATTACTCGAAAGATCCAAAACGAATTTTTATATAAAAAAATTGATAAAATTTTAAAACAAAAGGTTTAAAGGTGTTATAATTCGAAGCAAATTTTAGGTAGATTAAAAATAAAAGTTGTTATATTTAGAGTGATTAAAACATATTTATATGAGATGAATTTGAGAAGAATTGAAAACTTTTATTCTATAGTTTTTATAATAGGGTTTTGATTTGAAAGATGTAACATGAAAGTCGAGATTAAAATTGAAACGTAAAAACTCATATATTTAGAAAAAGTAAAAATGCATTTAACAAATATAAAACAAAAATATATATTCATGCAAATATACTTTCTTTAAAGAACTAGTAATTATTAAAAGAAATAAAATAACTAAATTTGAAATATTAGGCTGCAAACATGTGCCGAGGAGCCGATTGGTGTATATATATAGAAACATAGGGCAGTTGAAAAAATCACAAACACTCTTGTCCCTAAAAAAAAGTTTCGACGTCATGGAATATCTGTTGAAGGTTCTATGCGTTTTGTGTTTACTCTATTCCATTTCAAAGCTTTTCAAGATGTTTGTTGAACGTAGAAGTGAATCATGCTACATATTAGCATATGAGTGTTACCAACCAAAGGAAGAGAGAAAACTGAATACTAATATATTAGCGAGGAAAGTCTTTACCAAGAAAAACCTGGGTCTAGAGGAACTCAGGTTTCTCACCAAAACCATGGCTAGGTCAGGAATTGGTGAGGAAACGTATGTTTCCAAAAATATTATTGAAGGAAGAGAAACATGCCCGACTCTCAAAGACACGCATGAAGAAATTGATGAAGTGATGTTTGACACTCTGGACAAGCTTTTTAAGAAAACATGTTTCTCTCCTTGGGAAATTGACATTCTTGTGGTAAACCTTTCATTGTTTTCACCAATTCCTTCCATCACAGCTAGAATCATTAACAGATACAAAATGAGAGAGGATGTGAAAGTCTTCAATCTTTCTGCAATGGGTTGTAGTGCGAGTCTTATAGCTGTTGATCTTGTGCAACAGCTTTTCAAAACAAATGAAAATTCCTTGGCCATTGTTTTTAGCACACAGCAGATTGGTTCTCACTGGTACAGTGGGAAAGATAGAAATATGATGTTATCCAACTGTCTTTTCAGATCCGGAGGATGTGCAATACTATTAACAAATAAAGCGGAGCTGAAAAACAAAGCCATCTTGAAACTCAAAGAAATGGAAAGAACATGTTTCTCCAGTGATGAAGCCTATAATTGTTGTATCAGAATGGAAGATGAAGAAGGGATCGAAGGAGCTCGATTAACAAAAAGTCTTGTTCAATGTGCTTCAGAAGCCTTAACCTTAAATTTGCAAAGTCTCGTTCCCAGGATTCTTCCACTTTGGGAGTTATTATTAATAAGCACTGGTATGGCGAAATTAAAGTTCAAAAGGAGAATTCAGCATTTTTGTATTCATCCCGGTGGTAGAGCGGTGATTGATGGAGTTGGTAAAGGTTTAAAGTTAAATGAGTATGATCTTGAACCAACTAGAATGACACTTCATCGTTGGGGTAATACTTCTTCCAGTGGAATCTGGTATGCTTTAGGTTATATGGAAGCTAAAAAGAGACTCAATAAAGGTGATAGAATTTTGATGATTAGTCTTGGGGCTGGCTTTAAGTGCAATACTTGTGTTTGGGAAGTGATGAAAGATGTAGCTGATACCAATGTTTGGACTGATTCTATTGAAAAATATCCTCCACCGTTACACAACAATCCTTTCGAAGAAACGTTTAATTGGATTCACGATCAACAACTTAACTTTGTGAGGTTCGATTTTAGCACTATCAAGATTGATTAAGACTGTCGTGTGTAATATAGTATTGGTGTACGATGATTAAAGTATATAAATTCCATAACATTATGTTTCCTATAAATAAATACCATTGATTATGGTAGTTTGATTTCATTTTCTACAAGCTAGTTTTGTCTCAAATAAATAAGATATTGGACTTTTATTTCCTATAAATAAATACCATTGATTATGGGAGTTTGATTTCATTTTCTACAGGCTAGTTTTGACCAAGCAGAAATTAGAGTACCAAATAGACGAATTGCAAGAAGTAGAAATTCTTTCCTAGTCATGACCAAGCAGAAATTTTAATTGATTAAACAATAAGTTTCTATTGAGAAACTACCCTGGTTAAAAATAACTTCATTACGACTCAACCATAAATGCCAACCAGTTGCTAACCAAACATACATATATACCATACAAATTACCACAACTAAGTTTGAAGGTCGAAAGAGAAGCAGAGAAAGATTGAACACAGTTAAAGCTCGCACACAGGTTAAGTCCTAATCAAAAATAGATAAAATTCCACAAAGAGACAACAAAAAAATAACACAATAAATGATCAACCTCTTATACACTAGTCCTGCAGAAAACACAAAGAGGATGATGAAAGTCTAGAATTACACCTCTCTTGCCCAATTGGAATTTAGTAGGAAGTCTGTTAAAAAATAATCTCCAAAGAAACACTTGAATTCTCGAAGAACTCGAAGCTTCCAAAGAGATCTGAAAGCCAACAACTCTTCCTATCCAACATCTACAACAACAGTAGCATTCAAAAGAGCATCGTACCCACTAGAAACCGTATAAGAACCATCAACTGAACCTGCCCACAAAATTTTATCCCTTATACCACCCTGTACCAGAAAGGTTTGAAGCATAGCAGAACAAACTTGCACTTCTCTGTACCTATATGAATCCTCTTCAAAACTGGGCATGAATTTCTCCCAAGCAAAACCGTCAACCCCCCTCAACAGGTGATGATGTATTTTCGCAAGTATACGAATCGCGTCAGAGTAATATAAAAGATTATCGATCTCACAGAGATCAAACGTCAATCTATCGATTTCTATTGTTACGATGTTTATCTAAGGCAAATCAATCGGGAATTCGTGAGCGCACAGTAAAAGTAAAGGACGAAGATATAAAATTCAATTTAAAACAACAGACTTGAATGTAATTTACACAGCCAGGTAGTATTCCATATGCTAGTAAATAGAACTTCTAATAGGGTAATGTTTTCTAATTATGAAAAGAACTAATTTAACGGGAACTGTCGCTTTCGCGTATTCAGAACCGAGTTTATCCCTTAATCGAACCCTCGTATTGTCACTTATAAAAAGACGCGCATTGCATTAAAGTAATAAACCTATTTTTAAGAAATATAGTTTCTTGACTCAGTTGAAAATTATTTTGACTTGGAACTTTTAACAAAAAGAGGTTCATGCGAACCGGACTTTTAAACACATAAACACGTCCGAAAATAGTTTTAAAATCATTTTTCTAAAGTATTAAAAACTCCTACTTAACTAGACAAAGCGCTTTCGCTTCCTTTGAACAGTTAAGACTAACCTAGTTTAACCAAAGGTTGGACGACTTTCAATCTTAACCAACAGAAATGAAGTGCAGAAAACTAGTGTTAAAAATCAGAATAACCCCTAAGTATTTCTATTGACAGCGTGTATGGAATACTACTTTAACTATGATTCTTACATTCTAACCTTTAAAATTTAGCCGGACATTGAAATGTAAATAGACATGTTAAATATTGCGAGAAAGTAAACGGTGCGGGAAAGTAAATATTGCAAGAAAGTAAACGGTGCGGAAAAGTAAATATTGCGAGAAAGTAAATAATGCGGGAAAGTAAATATTGCGAGAAAGTAAATAATGCGGGAAAGTAAATATTGCGAGAAAGTAAACGGTGCAGGAAAGTAAATATTGCAAGAAAGTAAATAACGCGGAAAATAAATAATGTAGGAAAGTAAACAGAAACCTGCTCCAAACGGGAGGTTTTAAATATGGTACAACTGGAAATAAATGACTGGAAAGAAAATATCGGCAGGATTGACTTCTACCAAAGTGCTCCAAACTCGATTACAGACTCGATCGAACAATGTGATAACTCCCCGATGTGAGAAGTTTATCACTTTACAATACTGAAAATATATGGCTTGAGTTCTGTAACTAAGCTTGGATGCCTAGAGAGGAACAATAACTCATCTATTTATAGCCTAGTAAAATCTATGGAAAGATTAAAGTCCCCCCAACTTCTTTTGAGAGGGAAAACATACTACAAGGGTGGCGCCCGCCATGTGAACCAAGGGAGAAAGAAGTGGAGATCATGGCAGTTAACGACAGTTGACTCTTATCCAAGTTATGGCATACCCTATGGCGCCCGCCATGGTGGATGCCATGTGTACAATTTCCTCAAAAACTAGTCTTTCTTGCCCGTTTTTCTTCATTTCCTCGTGAGGAGCTCTGGGAATACAAAATCCTAAAAATAAAACAAAACAAAAGCATAACACAAGAAAATAGCAATAAAATTCTAAGAAATATGTGCAATTTGAGTCAAATACATGGTATGATTCAGTGTTATCAAATTCTCCCACACTTAGACCTTTGCTTGTCCTCAAGCAAAACACTTTATAGCTCATGACAGGAAACAGTGGTATCATCGAACAATTTGGGCTAAAAGGGCTTCTAAGTTCAAACTAGGATGAAGTGATAGGTACTAACTAAGTGAGCCAAGGATATCGTAATGACACTTTTCCGCAGACACGGACATAAACTTCGTTCCTATAAAAACCAATCCGTACTACCCCACTGTACCTAGGCCTACTTTTGCATCTCTTTTTGGGCCCCCTTCATTTTGGTTCAGTCACATTAAGCCCGTTATCCGTACATATTCATAGTAAAGTGACCGATTAGTGATTCTGATCTCAAGCATGGGGCTCTAGTACACAAACTGATGTAACCCCTTTTATCGACCCAATTGTAGTTGTGGAGGATCAGATCGTAACCCGTCCTACCAAATTCAGCACCAGATACCTCTGAACCAACCAACAATGGGACATTTTATTATATATATTTTTTATTTTTTTGAAATTTTTACAACTTTTTGGGTTTAATGACCTTGTGAGGGTTACCTATACCCGAGTTGCATTTTTTTATGAAGCACAACATACAAATCATTCACTTATATTCATCAGTCCCTTACGTAGAGCATGCTCAGGCCGGAGCTGAGTGCTAGAATAAACTACTAATGACTTACTCTAAAAAGAATAATTAAGGTCATGGTATATGAGGTATCGGGGTTGATCTCTATATTCACGAAGCCTAAGGTGCTAAAATGATACCGATGTTTCAAAAAGTTTTTCCAAGTCATCTGCATCCTAACTTAAACTTGCCTCAAAGCCCAAATTTTCAGAAAAATACACTTTCTTTTGTCAATAATTTTTTTTGGCGAGGCTAAGGAAATGGGGAAATAAGGATACACTTCATAGATGACTCGTCAAGCACATGCATATTCTAAATACAAACTAAAACAGGAGAAATAAACTAGAAAGCAATAAAACAAAATAAAAGGAAAGAAAATGCGAGTAAAACAAATAAATTCTCCTCCCACACTTAAACCAAACATTGGCCCCAATGTTTCAAAATAAGATAGGGAAATAGTAACCTGAAAGTCCTATGGCATGCTACCGGTACTGTCGCCAGCGTGCGGTGAGCGCCTAGGGTGACGAGATCTGCTGCCGCGACGATCACTTTGAGAAGCTACGAACTCGTCGAATCTGGTGGTTAAAGCAGCCTGAGATTGCATTATACTTTGAATGGAGAAATTCGTCTGCTGCTGTGACTCTTGCATGAATCTCATGTTGTCGGTCAATTGCTGCTAGATGGCAGCAAGCAAGTAATCACGCCTTTCTTCTCTGGCCAGCTGGTCGTGCCACATCTGCTCAGTAATATAGAAACCAGGAGCTATACCTGCAGAAGGGTGAGAAGAAGACGGTGTAGTGTGTGCAGGTGATACATGGTGGGATGACATAGGATGATCGGGAGACTGCTCTCGCTGGTCATACTCGTCATTAGTCGTGTTACCTTCCCCAATAGAAACATTAGGAGGCGGTAGACCTATAACAGGTGGGGCATCTAGATCGTAGGTCCAGCTCCTCGCTATGCGTACATCAGTACTTCTAGTAAGGCAAACCAACATATGGGATAGCCTTCCCGTGGATCATGAGTTCAAACCCCCTTCCTTCCTTACCTTGCATAATTTCATGTCTTTGAGAAATTTTAAATTAATCGTGCGGGGAGGAAGAGGTGCCAAGGTGGCTATCTCAGTGTCGAGGTTTAAAGCCTTTGCAATAGACGTAATCAAACCTCCGAAAGCAATAGTTCATGTACTCTTTATTGCAGCAATCATGTGAGCAATCATAAAAGGAACCAAATTAAACATTCTATTCGTGAGGCACCCTTGCAAAAACAGAAGTTATTTTGCATTTACCTTGTTTGGATTCTCCTGGACAAAAATAGTACAAGCTAATATATAACAAAAAAAACGGATGGCCGGGTTATGGATCCGTGAGGCAAGAATCCCTTCAAAAATCGTAATTGTAAAATTTGACAACCTGTGCCAAAAGGAAAATGCCTCAACCGACCAATCAGAACCCAAAGGTGCTTCACAAACAGCGTCAACCCCATAACGCAATCCTAATCTCTCTGCTAGTTCGTCGGTGGTGATTTCATACTCAACATTAAACATTCGAAATTGCACCGTACCGACGGTACTAGCAGTGTTAGGCCTGGCCTAACTATGTAAATCAAGGAACTCAAACATTCCCCAGTCAACCTCTCAAAAGTGGGATCTTTCCTAGCAAGAATATCGTGTAATCCTAAAACATCTAGCATATGAAAAATGCTATGATAAATACCAAGAGTATAAAGACAGTTTTCGTCGACGTATCGGGTCGAGGTAATCTCGCGTGCTTGCTATTTTTCGAGAAGTTTCTTTTGTCTTTCCCCGGACTTGCCTTGGCGAAGGATGTAGCCGTCATACTCCATTTATTTACCTTTAAGGTTGAAGAATTAGAGAAATAACTTATTATGAAAAAGTGTTGAAAAGTGGGTTTTAAAGAGATTTTGATGGAGAGGGATGAAATGGAAGTTGGAGAGGTTAATGGGATGGTGAGTAGATGAGAAAGTTGTGAACTTTTTGGGGTTTGAAGAAAGTTTTGGAATGGGTAAAAATGGAGGTTGGAAAGTTTGAAAGTGTGAAAATGGGGGGTTTTGGTGGTTCTGCCCCGCATATAGTTCCAGACCCCATGGCGGGCGCCATGGACTATATGGCGGGCACCACCTTAACAAAAGGTTTTGGGTCGGATTTGTGTTTTTACTCTTGGGCTTTTATATATATATATATATATATATATATATATATATATATATATATATATATATATATATATATATATATATATATATATATATATATATATATATATATATATATATATATATATATATATATATATATATATATATATATATATATATATATATATATATATATATAATCCAAGTATATCATGAACAACATGGAAGCAAAATGCGAGAATGTAAAACATATATATATATATATATATATATATATATATATATATATATATATATATATATATATATATATATATATATATATATATATATATATATATATATATATATATATATATATATATATATATATATATATATATATATATATATATATATATATATATATATATATATATGCGGAAGCAGGATCGAAATATTTTGAGATAAAAAATATAGAAGATGGTAGAGACAATTTTTTCAAAATTTTATAAATTTGTTATTCAAAAGGTGTGTTTACAAAAGAAACTGGAATCCCCTTATATAGGGAAGAAAAGACTTACTATTTAAGCCGGTAACCGAAACTTACAATAGCCGGTAAACTAAAACACAACTTGTATAATTATTGTCGGGTACTCTTTGGGCCCAATCGACACAACAATTAACAAGAAACCAAAAACTTTAACAAAAGAAAAAAAAAAGCATGCCTAGAAATTCTAAAGACAAGATAAGATTCTTATTCCCTTGTCTTTTACAAAAGAAAGAAAATGCATGCAATTATGCCTAAAATTTTTAAAGACAAGATAAGATTCCCTTATCCTTTTGCTTTTGTAAAGATTCTTCTTTTATTATTTCTTGTCCTATAGCCTCTGTCCATTGATTCTTATTCCAATATTTCTAGACAAGATGATAATTTAATTCTTTGCTTTTCCTTTTACTTTCATAGATTGAATCATTGCATCCCTAAAATCTTCTGCAGTAGGTTCATCTGTTTGACCTTCTCCTACTAAACCATCAAAGTTATGGGAATCCATTGATCCCATGGACGATCTTGTCTTCATAGATGAATCCTCATCTTTTGATGCTTATGTTGGAAAAGTAGAGAAGAATTGATTATTCATATGGTCCAAAATTCTAACCATGATTTCATCTTCTGATTCATTGGGATATTTCCTCTGGAAGAAGTTCTTCAAGTTTTCCATAGACATTTGTTGGGAGCTTTGCTCCTTGACCTTATTATTCTGGTCTTCAGCTATAGCTTCTTGAATTAATTTTATTTTATTCTGGACATCCTCTGAACTCATCTTGTTCCACCATTTATAGAATAAATTTCTTTCTAAAATGGGAATGTTGAATTTGTTTTTTGATATGGTGATTAACCATCTCCATATCCATGGAATCTGAAATTTAGTAAAGAACAAGAATGAGCATTGTCCAGTGATTAAATTATCAGATAATTTTTTTACAATAAATGGACTATTATCACACCATGGATTGTATAAGTTAAGAATTTTTTTAGGAAGAATCTCCAAAGATGGACCAAATTTAGCCCACCATTCAAAAAACCAATTTGGTATGAGTTTATTAACCATCACTTGATTAATAGAGAAAAACCAAGAATGCTTGTTCTTGGGATTTTGATAATAAAAAGCTTGAGTGAAAGCTTGGACATAGTCCCAATAATTAAAGTAAATATGATTTCCTTCTGTAATTCTTATTACCTTTTCAGCATTTGGGTTGAGACCCCATTCTCTTGGTAACAAAATTTTGTTAATGTGACATTTACTGAAGTTTATAAAACTTTCAGGATTATTGTTTTGGTAATGGTGAGTAATTGTTACTGATTCGGTAACAGTCAGGAGAATTTCTAGGTTGGGCCTAGATTTTCAATGAAGACCTGGATATCCTCTTGATTCGAGGTATCTAGTTTTGATAGATCAACCATCATTTGGATTTATCTTCATATCTTCATCATCAATATACATGATTTTTTCAGTTACTGGATTTTCAAAATAATCCATTTGTTCTTGAGGTGGGTTATTAACCGCAACTTCTTTGTAGGATGTAGTTTTATTAGAGGAAGATGAAGCAATATCTTCCTTTTTTTTGCTGAAGATACAGGTAATTGTTGCATTTTTCTACCTTTGTAAGTAGTCCAAACCCTTATTAGAGGAATGTTTGATTCTGGATGGGGTAACATATTGTTACTCTCTCTCCCACCACGACCATAATCGCGGCCTCTACCCCTATATGGGGTCATCATTTTTTCCCTGCAAAAACCACGAGTTAAATAATCAGCAAGTGAATTATTTTCACCTTTAATGTGTTAAATATCAAATTCAAACATATATAATTGCGATTGCCAACTAGCAAAAATTTGCTTAGCAACAAGATTTTTAACATCTTTTCAATTTAGCTGGGCTACAATCAATTTTTAATAAATTTTTTTTATTAAGAAGATCATCTTGAAATTTTGAAATACATTTTATAATAGAAATCATCTCTTTCTTGATAGTTGAATATTTTGCTTGTGTTGGATTCCATTTTCCAGAAGTAAATCTAACCAAAACTTCTTTTGATGTTTAAGGTATTATTTGTTTAAGGATTCCTCCATAGCCTAAGTCTGAAACATCAGTTTCAACAATTTTGAAATACTTAGGATTAGCAAGAGATAAACAAGGCAAACATTTCACCTTATTTTTAATTCTTTGGACTGCCTGAGAATGTTTTTCAGTCCAAGGGTCAGGATTCTTTTTAAGCCTAGCATGTAATATTGTCGTATCTTTAGCAAGATTTTCATAATAATCTGCTATGTAATTGAGGCTACCCAGAAACCTTTGTAATTGTTTCTTATCTGTAATAATATCAGGGAATTTAGAAGCAAATTCAATACTTTTTTGTATAGGAATTATAGTTCCTTGGTCAATTTCATGTTCTAAAAATCTAACCCTTGTTTGAAAAAGTTTTATCTTAGGACCAAATATTACAAATCCATTATGCTTAATTAATCTTTTGAATATTTTCAAATGTTTAATATGTTGATCTATAGTTTTTGAAAAAACTAAAACATCATCAATATAAAAAATTATAAATTCTGTATAAGGATTAAAAATATCATTCAAAATATTTTGAAATTCAGAAGGGGCATTTTTAAGACCAAAAGGAATGACACTCCATTCATAAGTCCAAAAGGTACGGTAAAGATTGTTTTATACTTATCGGGTTCATTAATCTGAATTCGCCAATAACTAGATTTCATATCAAATTTAGAGAAGATTAAAGCATTGTTTGATCTATCTAAAAGATCTTTTTTATTAGGAATAGGTAGGGCTGGAAATGAGTAGAGTCGAGTCAAACTCACCTCAGCTCGGCTCGACTCGTTAAGAATTGGTTCGAGTTCGAGTTCGAGTTTGACACGAACTTTTTTTTAAGCTCAAACTCGACTCGTTATAAGTTCACGAACAATTCGGTTCAACTCGTTAGGTTCATCTCATTAGGTTCAGCTCACATGATTCACGGACTTAAAAATTATTTTTTAAAATATATATTTTTTAGTATATTTGACATTTTAAATAAATATATATTTTTTAAATAAAATATTAAAATAAAATAAAAGTTATCATATTGAAATTTAACTTTATCTTCGAAATCTACTAATTCAAAACCTACACAACTTTCAAGAGATACATTTGAGAGTCTAATTCAAAAACTACTAAATTGAAGATTAAATTTGTCTAAGATTTGGAGTAAATATTTAAACCTAATCTTAAAGATAGTATAATTCTTCTCATATGTAATCGAGTTGACTCATGAACCTAACGAGTCGAACTATGTATAGTTCAAGTTCAGCTCATTTAGTTAACGAACTTAATTTTTCGCTCATACTCAACTCATTTGGTTCATGAACCTAGTTCAACGATTTAATTGTCGAATCGAATTCTGTTTTTGAGTTGGTTTGGTTCATTTCCAGTCCTAGGAATAGGATATCTAAATTAGAAACACGATTCCTTGATATCAGCATCATGTTCCTAGTATTTAATGTATAGTCAATAGCACTTATGTGCTAATTATAGGCATCAATATTATGTTTCTATATTGTGTGTATAGCCATCATTAATAGCTTTATTGTAGGATCATGGTCTTTACTTCCATGTATATATATGTATGTTACTGATCAATACAATACAACAAGTTTATACATATTGCAATTCTTCTAACTTGGTATCAGAGCGACATTTCCAAAAGGCTCGTGATTCAATCAAACCATGGAATCCGCCGCAAATGAAAACAAAAATGATCTTCCATCAAATATCTCTGTCAAGTTGGATAGAGACAATTTTCCCTTGTGGCAGTCCTTAGTCTTTCCCATCATCAGAGGCTGCAGACTTGAAGGATACATGTTAGGGACAAAGGAGTGTCCTGAGCAATATATCACAGGATCAGATTCAAGCAAGAAACTGAATCCTTTATTTGAAGACTAGAAAGCTAATGACCAAGAACTTCTAGGTTGGTTAAGAAATTCCATGACGGCAGACATTACAACACAATTTTTTCACTGTGAAAATTCAAAACAGCTTTGGGAGGAGGCCCAAAGCCTAGCTGGAGCACATACAAGGTCTAAAATCATCTACCTGAAGTCATAATTCCATAGTACCAGGAAAGGTGAAATGAAAATGCATGATTATTTGTCCAAGATGAAAAATCTTGCTGATAAACTTAAGCTGGCAGGAAATCCAATCCTCAACTCAGATCTAATCATTCAAACTCTGAATGGATTGGATTCTGAGTACAATCTTGTAGTGGTAAAACTTTCTGATCAGATCAATCTCAGTTGGATTGGTTTATAATCTCAATTACTGAGTTTTGAAAGTAGAATTGAGTAGCTCAATTACTTTAACAACCTGAGTCTCAATGCCTCAGCAAATGTTGCACACAAGACTAATTATAAAGGAAATTGGAGAAACAATAGACTTGGTTTCCATGGCTCAAATGGAAACTGGAGAGGCTCCAACTCCAGAGGTTGGAGAGGAGGAAGAGGTAGAGGCAAGTTCTCTAAACCTACCTGTCAAGTGTGCTCAAAGTCTGGTCACACAGCAGTGCAATGTTTCTATAGGTTTGATAAAACCTACTCAGGTTCAAATCACCCATCAGAAGAGGAAGAACAATCTGCATTCCTAGCATCACAAGGAACCAATCAAGAATATGATTGGTACTTTGACAGTGGAGCAAGCAGTCATGTGACACATCAAACTGAAAAATTCCAAGAAATAAATGAATATCATGGTAAGAACTCTCTGGTTATTCGAAGACATCCTTTTCCTGGCTAATCTCGGCAGTAGATTTCCAGAAGACCTCGGCAGTAGGTATTTTCTCTCTTTTCCTGGCTAATCTCGGCAGTAGATTTCCAAAAGACCTCGGCAGTAGGTATTTCTATTTCATTTCCTAGATAATCTCGGCAGTAGATTTCTAGAGGACTTCGTCAGAAGTATCTCTCCAGCAAACTTCAACACAGAATCTCGGCAGTAGATTCCTTACAAATTTTAACAGTACATACTTTGGAAAAAGTATTCTCAATTAAACTTACAAGTATCAGCAGTAGACTTCTCCAAATGATATCTTGAAATCAATTACATTTGACCTATACAGTAGATTCCTCAAGAGGATTTCTCACTAAGTTCTTCACAACATATTTACAGACACTTTGTGATTGTCAATCTTTCCCCGTGGAGTCTCGCTTTATTGAGCCTGTTCTTCCCGTGTGTCGTATCTAGCTTCTCCCCTGTGACATCATTTCCCCAGAGGAGCTATGTCTAGCATTTTCATATCATTGCATATCATTTGCATTCGGTGGCTTCTTAGGGCCAAAAATTCGTGCTATGTTTGTATTTAAGTCCCTCCTATATCGTCGAGACGAAGATTTCAATCTCCATATCTCCGGATAGAAGCAACTTAAATAGGGGCATCTGTCGCACCCTAATTTTTGACCTTAAGATCCCACCTCCTTGCGCATCCTTTGCATAGCATTTTAGGCCAATCTTTCCCGCTTTAGCTAACCGGTTTAACCATTTTGCTTATTTTTTTCCCGTAAAGGTAGGTTGCGGCAGAAGATTCAGAGATCATGAAGACTCCGCGCTTACGATTATTAGGATTTTTAATCCTCTACAAAATATGTTGATTACCAGTTAAGATGAAAGAAAAGATATCAATTCAAAATGCTTAAACTTTACGGTGTACCACTACAAAGGACTTTTATTTTCAAATTACTAAGCTCGGTATCATCGCTGGCCCTTTGAGTCATAAGAGTTGGATTTGTTGTGGGATTTGAAATATGTTAAGGTGGTGAATCAGTCGGTACATATTGAACCAGATTTTATCAGGAATTTCTTAATAAATCTTTATTTTGTTCTTCAAAGGAAAGTCACTTTTGGTGCTCTATGTTATAAAATTGCCAAATCCAACCCAAAATGGATGTGGTTCCCATGCGTACTACATTGAGTAGGGCCAGAGGTTGTCATTTTATGGGATACTCCAGTTACATTCGGGCAATGAAGATAGACGCTACTAAACTATAGCTATTTTGGGACCTCGTATGATTGGGAGATATTGCATTGAAGTTGAGTCAATAATGAAACCCTCATACAAATTCATATCATTCAAATTCAAAGCTCTGTACAAAACAAGTTCAAGGTCCAAGTGTTACTAAAAGGCTAGAATCCCTATGCTAAAACTCAAACATGCCGTTACATACAAGAATTAATAATCCACTGTCAATACAACTTTGATCATTAAAGCAACGAGTACATAACCCCACGGTGGGGAACTATAACAACTGATGCTTGAATTCGAAAGGCTCGCAAAACCGAGTCGGTTTATCATATTGGGAGCATGATGGAGGGTGCTGAGCGTAGTTGTTCTGAAGGCTACAAACATCTAGTATGACTTCCCCCGAGTTCCAGAACATTGGATTCCTTCAGAAATGAATAGCAGCTTGGCGCGGCCCATGTGTGTTTACGACGCAGAGCCTTTCAAACTTCCAAAGATCACGCCTATGCCACCTGAATAAGTCCTCGAGAAAACAAAACATATCAGTTGGAGTATTCAACATAATCTACCAAATAACCACAAGTCCAGAATAACAGTTTGAATTTATGTTGAACTCCATTACCATTTCCATTACTTCATATTACAAATTTACAAGGCTTCGAAAAATCATAAAATAAGAATAAACATGGAAAGCCTAACAGGTCATTTCAAGCATTTGAT